CACTTTCACTGAAAGTCTTTCGGTAATGAAGTAATGATTTAAAAATACTTCAAAAGAAAACGCATTAAATATCAACTGAAAGGGAAAGTCGTCCGACATTTGAAGGCCTGAAGCAAAAAGTCGGCACAAATTTATTCCCCAAAAAAGCGATCAAATCTAAGGCTTATTGTGTGCTAAAAGTCACCGAAAGAATTATATTTAAATGACTTTTAATACTTAATCAATTGTCTTAATTTATTTTCGAGTCAAATAATAATGTGAATATCGATGACATGAATGGTTTATAATTAAATAATTTCGACATTACTCTCTCCAAAGGGTCGATGTGTTGGTTGATATACATTATGGCACACATACTGTTAGATCACTACTAATTTATTCATTTAATATAGTGTTTCGCAAACTGTGTTTGTATTAGGAATTTATTGCTTTAGATATGAGACACTCATTAAGACCTATTGGGATAATCCCTGTATTCATAGCGTGAGTTCGTCTGCAAAGGATTTTTATAATATTATGTGTTAAATGTTATGCGAAACCCGAATGCAATTCTATGACAATGAACTTCATTTCAATCGATTTTTGCCTGTTTTAAAAGCCATAATGTTTTTGTGTGAATTTTGTTTGTAGTTTTTTTTTGCAGTCAAACACATATTTGTAAATATTTTTACGCATTGAAAAAATAAAATTTTTGAATATTTCCAGTGGTTTTTGCAGCACAAGTGACAAAATGTATAAAACACATGATATGACAGCAAAAGTATCTTTCAAATGGGTTTCAATTTTCTAGGACTGAAGGAATGTCTGTATGTTTTTTACACATTTTAATCGCTGGTGAGATTGGATTCAATTTTTGAGATTAACTTTTTATTGCTATAAAATATTGACGACAAATAAGAAACAAAAGCCATTAATAGTCAATAACTTTGATTAAGAATAAAATGCGAGTAATATATCATAAATAATGAAAAAGAAGAGAAAAGAGAGAGAAAAAAGTTAGGTTTTGGAAGAGTGCTGTGGAAGAGCTAGAGTTGCGCCAAACGTTGCGCTTCTCAATGGTTGGACTCCTGCTATTCGTAGGCGGAGATGGGCTTTAATTCTGTGTGTGAGGTAAGGCCTGAGCTCAAGGTGTCGAGCATTCATTCAGTTTGCGCTCAACTATTCAAACCACTCTATTCTTACGGTTATAGAGTAGTTGCCATTCATACAGATATACACTCTTCTATTGCCAACACATTTGGCCGTCAATGCGATTGTGAAGTTTTTTTAGTGCCGCCGACGGCCAGTCATACCATTCATTCAATTACTGGTGTATTCGTTACGCTATATTAGTGTAAGAAGTGTTTCAATATATTTGTCTAATTATAGTGACTGACTATTTGTCCCCCAATTCTTTACTCCCAAATCAAATTCGTGTCATTTGTGTGCAAAAACAGCGCAAGAATTAGATAATAAAATCAATGACTAATGTATTTCTGAATTCATTTGGACTTATCGTGTAATTTGTCCGTAATTTCCACTCAAACTAATGATATTTGTTCACAATATCTGTCAACTTGTAGTTAATTTCAACATTTAATTGCATTTTTTCGTCCAAAAATCCACAAAACAATTGATTAATAGTTGGTATTATGAAGAAACCAATGGATAAATATGTTTTCAATTAAACTTTTTGGGTAACGAGTGAGACATCGGATAACTTATTATTATTCATTCATAATATGTTCACGAATTAAAAAAGCGATTTAAAAGCTTTTAAGTTAAGGCAGAAATAAAGACACAAATAGAAAGTTAATAATAAGTTACAATAACTGAGAGGTAAATAAATAATTTGACAGACATTTGAAGTGAATCGGACTCATAATAATCGGTTTAAAAGTGAGAAACGCCTTCTCATTACAGAGACCAACAATTTATGCCATCGAAACAACTTTAGGACTGAATATGATTGAGGTTTACCACAAACGGCCGCTCTTTTGCCTCTTATTACTGTTGGCGAGCAGTTTATTGAACTACAAGAACGTTGTGGTAAACGCTTCCTTCTTAAGTCTCTTCTCAGCGCAATCGGAACCACCGGATCCTTGTTATGACGAGTTGGGTATGTCTTACCATCTCTTCGCCGATACAAATATCTCCATATATTATACTATGTTTTACATATGTTTTTATATTTTTTCTCACTTTTTGTTTGTTTCGAGTTTCATATATACGGTATAATTACCGTGTATTCGTTGCACTCGTTTAGAGTTTGAGTAAAATTTATTGTTTTCTTTTGTTGGGAATAAACGAAGAATTTTTCAACATTTTCTGTCTGAGAGATAGATTTCAACATTTTTTACATTTCATTATTTCTAATTCTGTGTTTTGGTGGCAATCCATAGGAAACCCTCGCCGTTGTATTCCTGACTTTGTAAACGCGGCCTTCAATAAAGAAGTTAAGGTACGAATCGTTTGCGACTTTTCTCTCAATTTTCTAATTATTTTTAATTGCTTTAAACGTTGTCTAAAATGATTTACAAAAATGAGTTTTATTACAGTTTAGTTCAATTTTTCGATCTCTTATGTAAGAAATAAGTTTCATAAATATCTTACATAAGATTATCGGTACTGAAGACCACTTTTGATATATTTGTTTGGAAAATATTTACTTTTATGTTTAAATATGAAGACAATGAACAAAATAAATACACTTTTTTCAGTTAAATATGTATTTAGAGATCTTTTGTGTAAATCCCTGTTTTGAGCAACTTTTTGAAAAAACTTATCTTTTTTGTTATTTAAAGCTATATTTATTGAAGTATTGGTTTACGATTGCATTGTTATGTTAGGTGTCGAGCGAATGCGGTAATCCTCCCACACGTCTATGTGTGGCCTCAAACGATGAGAGGGGAGACATAATACGGGACTGTCAGGTGTGCGACCAGAGCAACCCTAAGCGCCGACATCCAGCATCATATCTGACTGATCTAAACAATCCCAATAACTTGAGCTGTTGGATATCAGAGCCGTTCACACAGATTAATCAAAACGCAACGCTAACATTAAGTTTGAACAAGAAATACGAGTTGACTTATATTAGTCTCCAATTCTGTGCCGCAAAACCCGATTCTATGGCTATATTCAAAAGCATGGATTACGGAGAGTCGTGGCATCCCTTCCAGTATTACTCGAGTCAATGCAGAAAAGTGTACGGAAGACAGAATAGAGCGGCCATTACTAAAGGTATGGATTAATCTTATAGTAGTCTCAAGTAATTGATTGTCTAATTTGTTGGACGTTTAGTTAGTGTTGGAATTAATTTTGTTTTATGTAACCCCTATAATAGCAAATGAGCAAGAACCATTATGCGCTGATTCTAATACAGAGCCCATTCCCGGCGCTCGAGTGGCGTTCAGTACACTTGAGGGCCGACCATCTGCTTATGATTTTGACAACAGTCCAGTCCTTCAAGATTGGGTCACTGCCACTGACATTAAAATTGTGTTTAACAGGTCTTTAAATTCATTTCTTTTCAATTTAAAGAGTGAGAAAAATATGTTAACATTTTTATACCAAATTTTTTTCCTATAATTTCTATCAAAATCAGAATAAACGTCAAAAACACGGCTCCAGAGGAGACCACAATCGGAGCCATTGATGAGAATATAACCGATACTTCAAACGACTTGACAAAGCCATCAGAAGGTGTATATTATGCCGTATCAGACCTGGCAGTGGGCGGCCGATGCAAGTGTCAGTGCAAACACTTTTTCTTACATTATATTTTTATTAAATATTCAAATGCTTAACACAAAGAAAAAATTGAAAATAAATTAAAATATTTCTTTTTCTAATTTCATTTCGCTGTTTCCAACAACTGCTTCATACGGTTAGGCAACGGACACGCATCCAAGTGAGTCTCCATATAATTTATACACAAATTCTTACGCAAACTTTTCTTCTCATATTAAAAACAATTTCGGGAAAAATAAATATATATTTTCTAATCGAAAGTTGAAATTAAATTGCTTTTTGGGTGTGTCTTACACCTCAATACAAAGTGCCGTTTTCACAATGTTTTAGATTTTATCGCTTTTTTAATTTACAAACAACTTTAAGTTTGGTGTAAATAAAAAAAGCATTATATAACACATTCTCCGAAAAACTCATTTTAATATTTAACAAAATAATGTATAATTTATTAAAAACAAACATATTTGACGTTTTCAGGTGTATATACAATAAAGACAAACAATTGGTCTGCGATTGTAAGGTATGGGAGAATATCTGTTTATTCAAGAAAAACAAATTTTTACGTCAAGTAATGAACGAATAAATCATAAATGCATTTACAATAGCATAACACCGCCGGACATGACTGTGAAAAATGCAAACCCTTTCACTTTGACCGTCCCTGGGCCAGGGCTACAGCCATGGACGCTCACCAGTGCACCCGTGAGTCCCTTTCAAACTAATATATCCTTTAAACTAATGTTTAGTTTACATTTTATGGGCAAAAATTGTCACTTTTATAGTAAAAATAGTAATAATAGAGTGAATGAATGGATGAATAAATGGAAAGGCATTAAGTGATGGCTCGGATGAAAGGAGCCATAAAATAATGTGAAACTAAACTCAATATTCTTTTTCCCGACTCTATTAATGAGAAGGGAAGGGAAGGAGCGGTAGTGTTGTAGAGATGTTATACTCTATTCTATCTCTTTTGCCTCTCTTCTAGGCATTTGAGACACTAATACTGTATTACAATGTAATACTGTATCATATCATAGCTATTATATAATGGGCGTGTGATGTGACCCAAAGCTAAGCTCAAAAATGCTATTTTAATCAGAATACCAGTGAAGAGCATATTATCCGCACAAATGCTTATCTAATACGGTGTATGATATGCATTGATTGAACGCAACTTTCAAATCACATTCAAGTCATTCAAGCCTTATCTCTAAAGTTTGACATTAATATCATTTACTGATGTTTTTCTTAATAATCGTATAATTCATAAAAAATTGAGTTTTAAATCACAAGAATAGCTGTTGTACTGAATATTTGTTCGCTATCTATAAGCGAAGTGTAGTATCGGTGCGAGTATTGCATGATTGGTATGAATGATGTGTTGTATTGAAAGTCCTTTTTGTCGTTGTTTTGGTGACACGCAGTCTGTATTGAAAGGCAAACACTTTTATTGGCAAAAGTCTACACATATTGTAGGCATCAGTGATTCAGTCAGTCATTACAGTTGTGTACTTCGGGCGCAAAGATTGTCCAAAAAGCATTCCTATGACTAATCGCTATACTATTGACAATAAAAAGCTTAGCGACTGTTGGAACCATTTATTCAAATTTGGTCAGTCTTTGGGCACTGGGAGGCTATGGGAGGCAATGACAGGCACTGGCAGGCAATGACTGGGCAATGGATAGGCAAATGGTATTATTGTCAGTGCACTTAAATTCTGTCAAATGTGAGGCAAAAGATCTGTACATTTATCCCCTTTTCGATAATCGTTTAATACGTTTAATGTGTTTAAAACTGGATAAACATTTAGACATTTAATGATTTCAAATATCTATCATAAAAATCTGTGTGACTCTCATGTCGTGTCCATAGCTTTCACACAATATGTTCTCGTTTTTGAGAAGATCTCCGACTTATGAACGGATAAACATAGGAAATGAGAGTAAAGGGTGAAAATATTGGCCGAATATTTGTAAACTTGAAAATACCGATTGAAGTGCAGGTGTGAGCCCTATAGGTGTGTTGACAACTCTCACTGGACCTCATAAGGGTTGCAAAGCTCCTCACAAGCCTTAATACCACTTCTTTACGGCACTATTTTGCCGACACTTCAATGGGTTATCAATTTTTCATCGATTACTAAATATTTTGTGCAAAAATGCATTCATTCATTCAAAAAACATTTATTAATTTAATGCTTTAATTTAACACTTATTTGTACTGAAAACAAGTTTCCAAACAATTTATTGCTTTGAGTTAATAAGTAGAAGTAATGTGTAAAAAGTCAAAACTTTTGGTAATACTTGTCATAACTTATATATTCTTGTAATTTACTGTGTTTTGCAATAATTATTTCGATAGCGAAAGATTAGTTCTCTTGGTTTGTGTAAATTGCAATTAAATTTGGCACAGCTTTAGACAAATCTCTCTCTCTCTCTCGTTCAGTCACTCACTCTCTCACTCACCCGCTTATAGTGGTGTTAGTTTGACACCATCTCTGCTATGCTATGCCGTCTCTCCAGTCTCTGGCGTTTGACTCATTCTCACAGATTTTGTGCAGTAAAGCCAAGCCATGCCCTCAACAAACAAATAGTTGTTGAATGTCTGCCGAAAACAGAGGCCGCGAATCCAAACCCAAAAAGAAACTCAACAGAAATACTGATACTTATGTCCGCAAAACAGAACACTATTCTTAAAAATAGTAAAAAATCGTGAACTCAAAGCACTGGTCTGTATATAAGCGGTGGGTCTGCTCTCTGGCAATAAGAGGTGAGAAATTGAGTGAAAAAAGTTTTGAATACATCGTAAAAGACTTTGAAATTTGCCTCAAATAAAGAGATACGCCCTGAGCTCCCACTTCTCCACAAACTATTCAAATATTTTTCTCTCGCATTCAATGCTCGCATATAATAGGGAACTGACCGTCCGGTCGACTACAAGAAAGTCCACAATTTAGTCAAATATATTTGCAAAAGAGACTATTCTTATATCCATTCAATTGGGATATACATTATAACCAGTGCTGAACATAACAATGAAAATTTAGTTTCTTTCAAATATGTTTCAAATATGCTTGCAATCATTTTCGATAACAATTCTATTGGTTTTGCTTTTTTATTGCAAATATATTTTGTATTTATTAATGTTTTGACTTTTATAAAAATATGAATTAAAAAATATATATTGATTTATTAAGAAACCAATTTAAAATCAATTTTATAAACGTTTAATGACATAATTATAAGCTATAAATTAAAATTATTTCTTAAATTAGTTATTCAATCGTTAAATCTATCGTATATTGTATACAATTATCTAGTTATAAACTTACATAGTATACAGTAGAGAATTGATACCCCACCCCATCGCCCCTCTTCTTCCCTATTTGAACACAAAAGCACTCAAACAAGATATGAATATATGATGGCTATAATTGAGGTCATTAATAGATATTTGTTATGAAAACTTATTTCCAATCATTTTCACGTTATTATGAGTTTATTGCAGTGTTTGTTACATGTATTTTAAATGCAAATATATTTTATTGCTAATACAGTAAAGCGTTAACACATTTTTGGCATTCTTATACTTTAATTATTTTACATCACTTTTCTGTTGACATTTATATTCAATTTAACAGTTTTTATGTTTATATTTGACTACTTTTATGGCTCTTAAAGATAAGACATAAATTGCTGAATAAATGAAACAATTCATTATATTTTATTAACTTTTAATTTATTTCGTTACTGAATATTTTCTCTGAATTTTCACATAACTTTAGATGTAATTTAGTTTTGTTTAATTCAGTTGAAGAAAATGATTTTTTTCATAAATAATATAAATTTTTAAAAATCTATTAAAAACTTTACAAAATCAATATGTCATCAAATAGTGTGAAGATAATAGTATTATTTAACTAAATATATTTTTAATGCCATAGTTGTTATGATCACGTATTCTTATAAATAATCAGGGTTTAATACTTTAAATGTGATCACATATTATATGTTGTTACATAATTATAACTTATAACTCAAAGTAGGCTAAAAATATGAATTTTAAAAAAGTTATATTGATGAATGTGATGACAGACTGAATGTCAATTTGAATCATTTTTGATGCCAGAAATATGTTGTCATTAAAGACTCTGTCGTTTAGAGTATTACACGAGTAATACACACAAAGAGCGACCAATTTGTAAAGTCAGGCATTTTTATAATAATTTAGGAATTCCTACAAATTCTTACCAAAAGCCTAAAGCGATGTTGCATTTGTTAGACTCACCTTCTCTGCAATGTTTATCTCTAGACTATTATTAAAAACACAAAGAATTTACTGTATCTCGAAATTAGATGATTTTGTAATAATTTAATTATGTTTATAGTATTTGAATAAATTAAAATATTGAAAACAATTGTATTAAATATCACATCTTATATAATATATGAAATAAATAAATTTTTAATACTTAATCCAAAGTTATTAATAAAGCCATTAATTATCGAAAAAGCGAACAAATGTTAAAAAGTTGTTAATTAGTGTGTATTTTGTTTTAAAAACAATTGCTTTTTATAAAAGATTAGTCGTGTAATAGTTAGTGAGAGGACTGGCATATAAGATGGGTTACTCCTCCGGCGCCATCACCACTGGACGCCTTCCAGAGCCTTCAGATGTGGGTTCGGATGGCTTTCAAACTCAAACATAGGTCTGCAATAAGAGTCTCTCTCTCTCTCTCTCTCT